TTTGTACAGATAGAGTGGGAGGGAGAGAGAGGAAGGGAGAGAGAGAGAGAAACATTGACGTGAAGGGACACATCGAGTGGCTGCCACCTGCACGACCAACCAGGGCTGGGGGACAAACTGCAACCGAAGTACATGACCTTAGCGGGAACCGAACCCGGTTATCTCCGGACCGCAGGCCGACGCTCTAACCGCTGAGCCAAACTGGCCAGGGCAATGTTTTTATTCTTTTAATTTCTTTAGATCTTTATTCAAACCCGTTTGACACTTAAAATGCTTTTACCCGCCAAGCTTGATATGCAAATTGATTTAAGTCCAATGTTACCAACTCCTATGCCATAAAGCAGTAGTATTTTACTAGTTCACTGCTATAAATATGGAAAGATTACAAATACAAATATAAAAAACAAAAAGTGCATTTCTTCTTGCAAATTATTTAGAATGGAATATATAGGAAATCAGTATGTTGATGTACAAAAGAAAAGTGCTTTTATTTCATGACATCGGTTACAAAAGAAAGAAGCAGCTGTTGCCTAGGTTACTATGAGTAGTCAAGTACAAATGTTCTCTTAAATTCTAGAAACTCAAGTTAAACACATTCTCTTACAAATTTCAGGTATAAGGTTATGATTAGCTCTGTGTTACTAAGTGTCACACCCTATTTTAGAGGTCTGGGAAATATTGTTGCAAAATTCCTAAGGTTATTTGCCCACCTTATTAAATGACTGTTCATGTAGGTGACAGTAATCTCAGAAGGAATGAAATGTTTATAATCAGGGATAACTAGTGTCAGCTGAAATAGCACTGGGTAGTTGATATATCTGATAGCCTAAGGATTAGTGAGAGAATATATATAGTGTATTAGGTCCAATTTAATCTGCCAGACACACATCTCAGGATGTTGAAACTAGAGACAGGTTTCTAACGTGCCTCGGGTGTGTTGTGTTGCTGTTAGTTTCCTCTTGGTTAAGTGAAATAACTTCCCCTGTAAAGAAAATAACCTGTAAAGAAAAACAGGAGAATCCTACAGAATTAAAATCAATATGCCGAGTCTTCATTACTTTTCATGTGATTATAATTTAGAAATCTGTATCCCCACGAAGGGACCTCTTTCAAAGTAAATGTGCATGAAGAATCTTAAAGTAGTGATTACACCACCAGGAAATTCCTGGTTGCGTTCTCAGAGAGTAAACAAACAAGAAAAAAGCAGAAATCTTGAAACAACAAGCAGGATCTAGAAAATATACCAGCAGATGCTTTAAAAAGCTTCAATCTGTAGGCTGTGTTCAGCTTGCTCTTTGGGAGTTCAGTTTTATTTTGCATCTTATTTTACTTCCTTGTGAGGTCATCTGGACACCAAAAAAAGAATTAATTTTCTACCTGGTGAGTATGGACATATGTACGTTAGAGAAAACAGTACTCAACCTTCCCGATACTTTCTTCATCACAGTCATTGCACAGGAATCTCAAAGACACGTCGTCTTCTTAGAGAAGGTACATAAAGCCCTGGGAATCTTTATTACAAGGATGAGATACTTAGCAGGGGACCCAATAGTGTACCATCTAAAACTTGAGATTGGAACTCAGTATGGGTCTTGGGTTTGTCCAGAGTTATGGATGGACTCATAAGCATTTCAGAATAACTGAATCTGAGCTCACAACTCAAAGTAGCAGGGGTACAATAATGTTACTATGTGGTTGCTGTCTTTAAAATGTCTTAAACTAGTAGGGTGACAAGGTCAATGTTTAGGAAACAATTAGAAAATCTAGTACAAAAATATAAAAATAATGGCAAACTAATCTATATATATAATTTCTAAGGAACCTAAAGGATAGCATAAGGTGTAGATGAGCCCTGGCTGGTGTTGCTCAGTTGGTTGGGCATCATCTGGTGCCTGAAGGCTGCCCATTCTTCCTAGTCAGGGCACGTGCCCAGGGTTGTGGGCTCAATCCCCGGTAGGGGGCATTCAGGAGGCAGCCAATTGATGTTTTCCTATCACATTGATGTTTCTCTTCTCCTCCCTTCTTCTCTCTCAAAATTAATGACAAATCTTTAAAAAAAAATACAGATGAGTAAGTTGGTTTATCTTGCTTTGTCCTTTACCCAAACTCATACACACACACAGTAAATAACAAAAAATCACCCACTCTGTAACACCTAACACAAGACTCTCTTCACTTGGTTAGTGGATCTCCAAAATAACAATATCAAGAGAAAATTCACAGGGAAACTCTGACTTCATTCATAGGGAATCTAGAAACTTAATTCATGAAATCTAAGACTCTTTTATCATCAGAAGGTTTACTTTTTTTAATTTCCAAATATGTGGAATTTCTTAATTCTGTTATTTGTGATGGAAACAAAGACTATGGAGCCTTTAAAAGAAGAAGGGACTATTGTAAGTGTTTTTCACACAGACCAGTGACTTTCTGTTCTCAGTAATGTACCTTGGTTTGTTCTGCTCCTCACTGAGGAATTGTTGAGGAGATGCTGAGAGATAATGGCTGGAGAGCTCTATGTTGGTAATGAACACTGCCGTTTCCAACTTCTGAGAGCACTTGGTCAGTGTAAGCCTCTATTTAGCCCTTAGTTTTTCCATAGGTGATTGAAACTCACTTTGTAGAATGTGTTGCTATTTGGTTCAGTGATTCCATTCAAATTGGTTATTTTGAAGCTAAAATGTTCAATCATTTCTAATTTTTTAAAATCAAAGTCTATAGGAATTTAAGGAATAAGTTTTGGAAATGAAATTATTGCTTTTATCATTTAGTTAGCTAGCAAATAAGGAAATCCAAATTTAGAAATGTTTATTTACCATATACTGGGAAGCTACATTTCAATGCAGTTGTTTAAATAGAAAATGCCTACGTGCATACAGAATAAAAAATTTATGCTGATCTTATTGGGAATATATTATCTACATAAGGCAAGCCTGTCATCTGATCCAGTTTTGCTTCATCATGGGGCTTTCTAAGCCAGTGTTTGGGCTCACTTTGATTTCTGTCTACATGATACCATTTGCTTTATGCCTTCTGTCACCAGAAAGGGACCAGGCTCAGAGTGGATCTGTATATGGGTTGTTGACTTTGTGCAGAAAAGATTTCACCAAACAATTCCAGGTGATTTTTTTTTTTTTTTTTTTTTTTTTTTTTTTTTTAATCCTCACCCGAGGACATTTTTTGTTCAGATAGAGTGGGGAGGGAGAGAGAGAGAAAGAGAGAGGAAGAGAGAGAGAGAAACATCGACGTGAAAGGGACACATCGAGTGGCTGCCACCCGCACGACCCAACCAGGGCCGGGGACAAACTGCAACCGAGGTACATGCCCTTAGCGGGAACCGAACCCTGGTCTCTCTGGACCGCAGGCCGACGCTCTACCGCTGAGCCAAACTGGCCAGGGCGAATTCCAGGTGATTTTGAGAGTGTATTTATTAAACCTGGAAACTGTGAAACCAAAGAAGGGGTTAGGATAGAAGAAATAACAGGAGAGGGTTGAGGCATTGCTTCTTCTTTGGCTCTCCAGAAAAGTTACAGGAAGGAAGTGAGCCACACTGAGCAGTGTGAATTCACTGAGAACTGAATGCCCAAGTGGCAGAAGTGAGCCAAGGTAGGGCTGCTATCAGCTCACTGAAAAGTCTAGGACAGAAGAAGCAACAGAGGGAGCCTAGGCAGTGCTCTGCTTTGGACTTCTAGAAATGTTATAGGAAAGAAGTGAGCCATGCTGGGCTGCATGGACTCACTGAGACGTGAAAATCACAATGACAGAAGTGAGTCAGGACAGGGCTGCTGTCAGCTCACTGAAAAGTCAGAGAAAAGGGGGGTGTGGAGACAGGTTCCAGGGGTTAGCCTAGGACTAGCTGCCACTGCCCCCTGCTCCCTTGATTGCAAGTCTCACTGGGACCTTTAGAGTTTAGGAGAAAAGAAAGTAAACATACACTCTAAAAACATTTGAGTGGGTTTACTCCAAGGAGGATGCCTGCTGTGTCCTTGGTCTTGAGAGCTTTCATCTAGGGGTCTCAGGGGAGGATCTCAATAGTATGTTTATTAGCTTTTCCAGGTATGTCCTTTCAGAGTTGTGGTCTCTACTAAAATAACTGATGTTTGCAAAGTAGGTGGTCGTTAGTCACTGCAGCTGGTCGTGATGTCAGCCATTGCCTCACTTCATCGGGCTTTGCTGCTTTTGTGGGTCTGGAGCTGAAACACAACTCGGGCCTAGATGTTCTCTCTAGAGCTTACTGCTTAAGGGAGCGGTCATGAAAGGGATGTATGGGGGTCTCGTGAGGCTATTCTCGGCCCCTCGATTTCTCCTCTAAGGGTGGGGGAGGTCTGAGACTGCATGACTAGCAATGTGCCAGGGGAAGAGGGGAAAGTCCAAACCATATGACCAATGATAGAAAAGTCAGGGGTCTAAGCGCCCTGACCAGCAAAATGCTGGGTGAGGAAAGGTCACCGAGGGGGTAAGGTTCTTGTTTTCTCAGTTTTGCCCGTTTCTGGGCACCCAGGGCTTTCCATCCTCATGACCATCTGTCTGGCTATAAATTGCTCTGCCCGTTTGTTCTGCTGTCTGTCTGTTTCCCCAGTTCACTTGCCAGTGAATTTCGCTAATTCTCACTATCCTGCCTCACTTTCAGAATTCATGAAAACTTCTGTCTCAGCATGGTTTCTTCCTGTTTTCAACTCCGTTGTGGATGTATTATTTCCCTTTCTGCATCTTCTTTTTGTTGTTGTTATTTCAAAGGGAGTGGGATGAGGACCTGAGGATAGTAAGTGTGTTTCAGCCTTCCCTTTGAACCAAAGCTTCAGCTGTTTAAAAAAATAAGACTATTTTAAGATGGAGAATTGGCAATTGGGTACTTTTAATTATAAGAAGAAATTAGCTGATAAAACAGAAAATGCTGCTAACCTTTGATTTCTTTCACCATGAGATTTTGTTTTTAATTTTGGGAGGCCTTAATAGCTTTTTTAGAAAATTACCAAACAAATCTTTCTTTCTTGTTTTTATAGAGATTTGCCTGCTGACCAAGGGACGCCGTACGGCCAGTGTTCGAGCTGATACATACTGTCGTCTGTACTCACTTTCTGTGGACAACTTCAACGAGGTCCTGGAGGAGTACCCAATGATGAGACGAGCCTTTGAGACAGTTGCCATTGACCGACTAGATCGGATAGGTACTCTTCAGTTTTGTCTTCTTCGTGCACACTTCAGTTTGAATCTAGTAGACTGGTACATATTTGCAATCATCAGTCCCAGATGCTAGATTACAGAATGAATGCTAATTAGCATAGAAGTAGCAATTAGCTATAGCCCTCTTTCTAGAAAGATCTGAGGATCTAACTTTCTCTTCTCAGTGTTCTAGGTTTATTTATTCATCTCTATTTTTACTAGCTACGCAATCTGATTTCCCCAGTGATGCCAAAACAATTTGAATCTTCAGGTAAAAAGCAATGATAAACATTCTAGTTCTAGCATTAAAATAGAACTAAAAATACCAGTGCATGAGTCAACATTACAAACCAGAGTTATCACAAGGATTTTTTTTATCATTATTATTATTTTTAAGGATCAACTTTACATTTTATCCTTATATTAAGAATTGAAAACTTGGGTCAAATAATTGTCTCCAGAAACTTCTTGATGTTTGTAATGCAGACTCCAGCAGAAAAAGCCTTGCTAGAGTGCCCTACATAGATGCTTCACTTTGCAAATACCAGTTATTTTAGTCTTCTCTGCTCTCCAATAAAAATGTAGGAATTAGGCCCTATTAGTTACACTCGTTTAAGTTTTGAGTAACTGCCATAGTAAAGTTAGATCAGATTAGCTCGCAGTTAACTTCCCAGGTCTGCTGGGCGTTGGGATGTCAGAAGTGTGCATCTTTTTCCACACCCAGATCCTCTTCTCCGGCCCACCCCCTCTGCCTCTCTTCTCTACTTAACTACTAGCCTCCCTATTCCAGTTTAGACATCCCATCTCGATAGGCAGAGCACCCAGATGTGGAATGTGCCCCCCGACCCCCCCGGGAAGCTCTTCCATCACAGCGCTGCTTTTATTGTTGTGATTGTGCTAGAGATGCCAAGCTTTGTAAATGCAGAGATCATGTCTAATTCATGATTACATTCACAGTACCTGGTACACAGTACATTTTATTGAAGAGAGGTAGGGAGGGATGAAAGAATCAATGAACTCAAAGGAGCTGGGGTTGGGATCACTTGAAAGTAAACAAGGAGGTATTTCGACTGCTTCACTCCTGTTAAAGGTAAGGACTTCTGACGGATGCACTTCACATCTTCCCTTCCATGTGTACTAGCAGGATACCAGACTGCATAAAGATCTGAAATTAGGCGAGGAGGAATCAGGTAGTATGGGATATTACCATTAGACTTAACACGTGTATTAGAAACTCTCATGGACTACTTAGAGATTTAACATGATATAGTGCCCTGGGAGACAGTGCCTGTCCTCTCTCTCGGCCTGCTGGGGGTCGTTGCAACGTAATGAACTCCAAGCAGACTGCTTGGAGTAAGGGGGAGCATCACAAGGGAGTGAATGTTCCAGATCTCAAGGTAATTAATCCTTGAGATTGCATCTCTGGGGACCATACAGCCAAGCCCAGCATACTTCCTGTCTCTCGCTGTTTTCAGCAGAGATACATCATAACAAACACATTCACACTTGGGCAAATGGCCCATTGTCGCTCTCAGGGTGGCTTTCCAAACCCAATTCATGCATACTTTATCTATTCACATGTATACTTTACACTCAGGGTGGCATTCCAGCCCATATCCATGCATTCCTTATCTATTCACACACATACTTTGATCCTTGACTGGCCAGGTCTCGAGAATGCATACCTCCAGGTTACATTTGTTCATCCACTGAACCCCCAACCCTACAAGTGCCCATAAAAGAAGTCAGTGCTCTTCAGAACATCTTTGCTTAACTTGAAAATCACTTCCCTTGTTGTGGTGCATGAATGTTCATGTTGAACTAGAGATTAATTTCTGAGCATATGAATTGTTTTCCTAAACCAACTCCACATCTTTAGAGAAAGCATTAAAATCCAGATATTTCAATAGAAAATTTCTCTTTATCTGATACAGCTTCATTTTCACCTAATTAATTGCAGTTAATTTTTATAAGAAAGTTTGCATGAAATTATTTGTAATCAATAATACAGGCAATGAAATTGCTACTAAGCACCAAACATTTGCATTTTCAATTCTTATAGAATTCTAACAGTGCATTAAAATGTATAGTATTTTTCTACAGGGTCACAGATATTTAGATTATGCAATGTTGATTGTTCACATGATCACAAAGAAGTATTATCCTTCTCAGTTGTGTGGCCATTTCTTATAAATGTATAGGTAGTTAAGGGAACTTGCTAAATAAGCATTTGTATTTATTACTAACCTAGAGGTCTTGTTCTTTGGGAAATTAGGATAATTTTTCAAGGAGTGATAGATTAATTATCTGTACTGGCAGACATTTAAAATAATTGCAACCTAAAACAAATGGGATTTTTATGTCACTTATACATAAATAAAATAAAATATAAAACAATTGCTTTTCCCAGCATCAAGTAAAGTTTAGCACATATTTTCATTCAAAAATATTTCTTGTTACTTTAGATGTTATATTTTATTTAGTGATTTGGCAAATTGATTCATTTGTAGTTATCATATTCACCTGGGTATTATTTTCTCAATGATGTCATCAAAAGTCACTGATTTTCCCCTCCTTCATCAACCCAGTACTGATTCTACTAGTTGTTCTGCCCGAGAATGTCTACTTATTTCAAAGCACTAGGAAGACAATGTCAGGAACGGGGGTCATGGTCATTGAGGTTCTGCAGTGAGCTAAGAGCCCGCCATACATTGGATCCTCGCAGCCCTTCAGAAGGGGAAGATTACAATGTGGTTCTCAGTCTGGCGACACATGAGAATCTGCTGAGGAATCTGGGGTTACAGTGTCAAAATCTGGACCCCATGCCTGGCACATTCTGATCTAAGTGCTGGAGGACAGATGGAAATCAGTGTGTTTTTAAGCTGCAGAGATGAGAAAAATATGCAGGGAGGGTAGAGAATCACTGGTGTAGGGCACTGGTCAAAGGCAAAGTCCTCTGCTTCTCCAGCTCGCACACGGGAGCCCCTGGGGAGTTCAGCAAAGTGGAGCTCCTGGGGGAGCAAGGGGTGTGGCCACCGGACCGCATCCCAGCCAGCATCCAGGTGAGAGATGCCGCTGGTCCTTTGATGATGGTACATCTGGAGTCACTATTTCCCCTTCCCAGCGCTGATGTTCGATCAGGAACCATGTTCTCCCCGCACGGTCCTTTACCCTGCCTGGGGCTCTGGCTCCTTTCCAGAGCGATGGGTTACAGATGCACCTACCGCAAGGAGTTGAGGTCATTAAAATAAATCTACCTGCAGCCTGTAGGGCGCCTGTCACACAGTAGGGGTTCCACTGTCCTTTCTTGAAAAAGAAGCTTTCCACTTAAGTCTTGGTTCGGGGCCCATCCTGACCCAGTGCCCTTTCTCCCCACTCTGCAAAGTGGCCCTCACGCCAGGCACCTCCCTTTCCTCTGTCACACGGCGTCTGCCACGCGCAGGCCTTTGCACTTGCCTTGCACGGAAGGGTAGATCTTCCAGAACAAAGCAGGGAGCCCAGGGCAGGAGCCCCGTTTCCGTTCGGTTCTGAAGGTGAGTACTGGGCTTGGACCCTGCGCTCCGAACCCCGCTGGGAGCGTTCAGATGCCACGCTCGCCGGAGTGCCAGCGGCCACGGGTAGGCGTTCTAAGTGCTTATTTGTCTTTCGCTCACAGGAAAGAAAAATTCAATTCTTCTGCAAAAGTTCCAGAAGGATCTTAACACTGGTGTTTTCAACAACCAGGAGAACGAGATCCTGAAGCAGATCGTGAAACACGACCGGGAGATGGTGCAGGCCATAGTTCCGATCACTTTTCCGCAGACGGCAGCCCTGAACTCCACCTCTTCCACCGCCACCCCCACCTCGCGCGTGAGGACACAGTCGCCGCCCGTGTACACAGCGACCAGCCTGTCCCATAGCAACCTGCACTCCCCCAGCCCCAGCACCCAGACCCCGCAGCCCCCCGCCGTGCTGTCGCCCTGCTCCTACACCACGGCCGTGTGCAGCCCGCCGGTGCAGAGCCCGCTGGCCGCCCGGACTTTCCACTACGCCTCGCCCACCGCGTCGCAGCTGTCCCTGGTGCACCAGCCGCCGCAGCCCACGCAGCCCGCGCAGCCCGCGCAGCCCCCGCAGCCGCCGCCCAGCAGCTCCACGCCGAAAGCCGACGTGCACAAGAGCACGCAGGCTCTGCACAACACCAGCCTGACCCGAGACGTCAGGCCCCTGTCCGCCTCGCAGCCCTCGCTGCCCCACGAGGCCTCCACCCCGATCTCCAGACCGCATCCCACCGTGGGCGAGTCCCTGGCCTCCCTCCCGCAGCCCGCGGCGGCTGTCCACAGCGCGGGCCTGCCGCCGGGGGGCAGGGGCACGGTCCCCCAGAGAGTCACCCTGTTCCGACAGATGTCATCGGGAGCCATTCCTCCCGCCCGAGGTGTCCCCCCCGCGCCCCCTCCACCAGCGGCCCCTCTTCAGAGAGAGGCTTCCTCAGTCTTAAACACAGACCCAGATGCAGAAAAACCACGATTTTCTTCAAATTTATGATCCCTGCCAGTTGTCAAAGCAGACTCGAATAAACCGAGAACATTCTCAGATCTTATTTTATTCTATCTCCTGGTACATCCCTATAGCCTACTATGAAGAGGTATTTTAGAAAGCTCTGGCTACATGCAAAATGTAAAAATAAATATATATATATATATATACATATACTATTAAATATATATCTAAAATCCCGAGAGAAGTTCAAAAGACTCGTTTAGCATTCAGTGTCATATGTCTTCCTTACTTTAAATCATTAAAAGATTTAAAATGTTGTTGTAAGATTATTTATTTTTAACCTACTTTTACTTAAGTCCTTTGATATATGTATTTCTACATTTTACGAAGAGTTCTTGGATTCAATGCAAACAAAACTCAGATTTTAAAAAGGCAACTCAAGTGAGCTCCTGAAAGGCACCAACCAAAACCCCTTTCATTAGCTGTGTCTCTGCATCTCAATTGTTAATCATTAGTTATGGAGGATTCAATAGCAGCCCCCATTTTATCGATCTAAATTGTACTTTGGTGCTTTCAATTTTGAATTAGGTTAAAGAACAATTATATATGCTTGGCCACAGTAGGAGACTAGCAGCCACTTTTAGGAATATCTCTAACCTCAAACATGTCCATCGATCTCTCAATTAGCGGAGGGATATTTCTCTTCATGTGTTATTGGACTTTTACCAAGACTCAATCAATGTTAGTTGTAAATAACTTTTTCAACCCAAATAAAAATAGCTATTCTGTGCTATATGAAAGTCAAAGTCATCGTTTAAGAATTTAGTTTTATTGCTTCACTTCAAAACTTAGAGTTTTCAATTTTACAAAACCTAATTGTGGCAATTATTCAACTGTAATGCAATGGCTTGAAACCTACAATGTTATTTTGACCTGCAATGTTTTATGCAAAATTGTGTGCTCGATTCTACAAATTGCTTGTATTACACCAAAAACCATTGCTTTTCTTCCTTCTTGCCATAATCCAGCATCTGAAAACAGTCCCTGCATGCTTTCGGGGGGAAAAAAAAGGTTGAAAGCAGTCATTATAGGACAAGGCTTACAGCATTTCTCATTTCTAGAAAAGTATAACAATTTTATTAATTGCCTATCGTAAAATTCCTGTAAGGCTGACTTTGATCTCTAACTTAAGTCTAGAAGTGAGGTTTTCACTTTCTTTTAATATTATTACTATTATTATTGCTGCTGCTCTTGTTATTATTTAAATAATGATTTGTAAACCACAGCTTGATTTGGAGTTGCCAGTGTGTTCTGTCTTCACTGTAGTTGGCAGTTTGCTGTGGTGTTGATTTAAAGAAATAAATACTTCGAGCATCATGTCTGGGAGCACACACTTTGCCCTACGTATATTGTAGCCAAGGACTAGGAAATCTAAGGGCATATGGGGTAACATAGCCCTTCGGTAGGACGTTTGTTGCTGTGAATGTGCTGAGAAGCATCTAGACATGGTAACAGAAAGCAGGGTCAAACTGAATGTGATCATTGTTTGTTTGTTTACTTGTCTGTTTCCTTAACTCTTTCCGTGATCTTCTTCCGAACGAAGTCCCTTAGTGATGACTTGTGCCTAATGTGTCTCCCGGATGTGGTGGGTGACTGGAACGCAATTGGAAGATTCCCGGTAACTGACTTCTGTAAACAACCCACGTTAAGAGAATGACCCAAATGGAGGTTTCTGATACCTTTGACGCTGGTGGAGACCTTTAAGAAGAACGTAAGCAAGATCGCACGTTAAACGGGGAGGACCTCCAGATAGACTTGAGGACAGAAAACAAAACAAAAACTCAAAAACGAATCCATGCTGCCTGTTCTGCCTTTTAAGGAAAAAATACCTATAATACCAAAATGAGTTGTTATGTTTAATTCTCACCGATCCCAGCTTCTGTGGATCAGCAATGCTAGTCGACGTAATGTTATCATTAACATGCTGGTGACATAGGTAGCATGTCAGGAATGGTGTGAGGATGGGATTGTTCCGTCGACCTAGGACCTGCGGGGAAGCTGCAAGACCATTTACATATCAGTACAAAACTCCTTTATTTTATTAAAAGATTGAGATTTAACTTCAACTTATTAAGATCATGTATTGATCCTTTAAATTATTAAAGGTTTACATTTGATAGGACTAATGGGTTTGGTAGTGAAATATTTTTATATAATATATAAATTTTTGGTTTTTTATTTCGAGGACTATTGGGAACCAAGCAGAATCGAATTGCATGGCCTTTCAGTGCAAACATACATTTTTATTCCCTTTGTAACAGAATGGACAAAACGCTAAGGTTTATATGTTAAACTAACAAAGTGGTACAGGGTAAACTATATACATAGATGTATGAATATATATACTTAGGTTAAGAAAAAATTGACTCACATTCCTGTAATATGAAAGTCAATTGCTATTTGAAAAGTGACCTCTTTTCTCTGTACATAGTTAAGCCCATGAGTATGGAGTTTTAATCTGTACAGAAAGAAATGTGTTATTGAAAAGATCGGTCTTTCTGCTGCTGAGAGAATACTAGACTAGCTGATTCTTACAACTGTATGATCAGGGACGAGTTAGAGTACTTCTTTTGTCTTTGCTCAAAGCCATACAAATATAAATATATAAAATTATTAATAAATTCAACAAAAATCAACTAAAATCATGAATATTTTATTTTATCAATACAATCAACCATTTTGTTTTATTCATGAGTAAAGATTTGACTCTGTCTTTCCATATTCACATCATAAGGTTTTCAAGAAGCTAATACTGGATAATCACGACATTAATTATAGATACTCTGTAAGTGTAGAAGGAACGGAATTGACGTAGAACATGGGTTTCCCGCGAGGCCTGTGTCTGACCACTTCTTTACAGTGCGAACTGAGTTCTAAGGAATTCTCTGTAATTCCTTAGCTTATGGGTCTCCAGTGTAAGACTGTGGTATCGCTGGACATGGGATGAGAAATAATCACCCTCTAATTTACAGATGCAAACCTATTTTATGACAGCCTTGGGCCTTCTAAAGGCTTTGCCTGATGGTACTACCTCCCTACACAAGTGGGCTTCGAAACAAACCCAAAAGCCTGAGATGAAGTTTTGCAGGGAGTGAAGGAGCCTGGGAACTGGGGTACACGGCCGGAGTGGCCATGCACTGCACTCAGCAGGTCGCAGCCAGTCCCCAGATGTCGGCAAACACTCAGGAAGTGCGTGTTTCCCTGATGAGTTGTTGCTTCACCTTAAAATGGTGGCTAATTTGCCATTTACAGACGTAAATGAGCGCAACACATGTAGGGCCCTACCAAGTACACAGTCAGGTTCCCAGAATAATTCCTAAAGGACTTGGGGGGTTTAAACAATGGGATCTGGTTTGAATTTCAGGTGTATTATTTCAACTCCTGAAGTACTGGCTCTTCAAAGTACAAACAATCTCTGTTATCGTTCAGACTTAGTTTTAAAGTCTCCATGTCTTCTTTTTCAACTTAAGTATTTATATTTGTTAATTTTGCTATGCCGCTGTGTTTCTATGGACCCTCACATTCATCATGTATAACATCAAACTGCTGGAACCAGGTTTCTCCCTTACACCTTTCCCTTCTAGAATGTGTGCCATAAAACACACTCGTGGGCGTTTTGTTCCCACGCACTACTCCGGGCAAATATTTTCTGCATGCTCCACTCATTTAAAAAATTACTTATGCTCTTGAATACAAAAGAACTGTGGTCCTTTCAGGAAATTTCGATGTGGGCATCAATAGTTAGTCTGAGCCCTGAATGAAATGGGAAGAAGTGTAAGCAAGTGAGACCGGCCACAGGCCCCGCATCATTACGTCAGCTCTATAGCTCCATTCAGTATGTCCTGTGCCGGGAAAATAGGGAGGGGCACAGGTGATTCGCTGTGGTGCTCAGGTGAAGTGTCCCTGTGATTGGCACTCGACAGCGGTGACGTCCTTAAGCAATTTTGATTCATTTAAAAGCTGGCATCTAAATTTCATAAACTGAACAACCACGCAGTCAGTCAGAAGAGAACTCCTGCTTTGAAGTGGGAACTACAGAAAGAATAAGTTACCTTGCCCGATCCTCAGAGCCAAGGGGCCAGAGCACCCGTTCCCTTCCTCCACCTGTTCTGGAGTTCTTGACCAAAGTCCACGTCCCTTCCTTCTCCGGGAGCAACTTCCTTTCCCGTTCGTATTTGTCCCTGTGTTCATCATCATTTCCTTCAGAGCTTCAGGGCTGAACACGCATGAGCTTTTCCAGCCTGGAGAATTAACGTCAGGGTCACACTTTTGTTGCCAGAAAAAGAACCATTTCTTATCATTGTTTAGAAGAGAGTACTATTGCTTTTATGATGCTTGGTTTGCTTGTCATTCTTGACTACTCTCAGTTCTATTAAAAAGGTGCAGTTCCGAGTTGATCAGAGTAGGGTATTCTGGTATCTGGTGTAATGAAGTATTTCCCTTGAGAACTATTCAATAGGTAAAAGGTTTGAATACAGGCTATAGAATCCAGTCTCTCTACATCTTCGTACCAAGAATCGAATACGTATTAACTAGACTGGCCTGTAAACATGGATAGATTCAAGTGAATGTTCTCTGAACAGTCATCGCCTCATTAATGCTCGACACCCTTGCACAAATCAACATCTGTTGAACCATCCGATTCCGGAGCCTGACTGGAGCAAGGTGAACTGAATATTGTCAACTCTGGTTTATCAATAAATCCCCTTTGGGAGTTAACCGAAACTCGTTGGAAGCCCTGTTTTCTTGATACCATAAATAATCTAGTTTGGCATCGCTGTTTGTTATCACAGACCAAATGTGGGTGTGTTTATACGTGGCTCATGATTGTCTAGGAAGGTCTTCTAGACTTGTTGTAAGAGTCTTAGATATGTACAGCTTCCCACCTCAAACTCCTAACATTCTAAAGATCTGCGATGTTTGCCTATAAAGATCTAATAACTCTATAGCTTTACATCCAACCTGACTTTTTTTTTTTTTTAACGCTTATAGAAGAATGATGATCACATCCATTCAGTGGGGCTTCTTTTGCATAGTTCTCTTCAAAGGGATGATTATTTAGCTTACATAACATTCTTTATTTCTGTGAAGAAATGGTCCTGGTAGCTGGTCTAAAGTGATTCCTGCCCCTGTCTC